ATTACTAAATGCATGCAAAATATAGATTCCTGACTTCACTAAGCATTATTATCAACAACATTATCGTTATCCAAATTATTTTCATAACAGCATGCATTTTAAATATCATGTAAATTCAACAAATAAACATCAATCCTATTCCAATGCCTCTGGGGTGCGCGACAAAAAAATCGGCTAAGACATTTTCTTTCCCTGGGCGATAAATAACCGTGAAGTTGAACGTCTGTAGAAACATTGTCCATCTTAATATGCGTGAGTTTTTGATGGGTGCTGAGTTCAAGACTTCGAGTGGACGATGGTTTGTCAAGATAAAGAAGTGACTGCCATACAGGAATTGGGTAAACTTCCCTATTGCCCAAAAAATGGCTAGTGCCTCCCTCTCGCCCACGCTGTAACGGCATTCAGTAGGAGACAGCTTCCTGCTGGCATAAACAACAGGGAGTAGGGTGCCCTCTCTGGATTGCATCAACGTCCCACCAATCGCCACATCGGACGCATCTGTGGATACATAGAACGGCAGAGACAAATCTGGCAAACACAAGAACGGATTACTATTAAATGCCTTTTGTAATCTCTGGAGCGCGTCCTCGCACTCTCTCGTCCAGATCACCATCACATGCATTCCTTTCATCGCCAATGAGGACAACACGCTGAAATGGTTTATGATCATTATGGAAAAGCAGAATGTCGTCGAGATAAAAACATCATTATGATCCCTGCAACAACTTGCTGATGCCCGTTTGGCTGTTAGAGCTGTAGTGTTTTTGCATGACAATCTCTGTTTCAAAAGTTTGTATCCCTGATTTACGACTCCTCGTTTGATGACAAAACCCACGTCAAATAAGGGTCACACAGATACTATCGCCAAAACTTCTGCATCGTGGATTACCTACCACGAGGGTCAAAAGTTCAGCCCACACCAATGTCTCCTCCAGCGACGAAAAATACCCACGTCGCGGGATAAAACTGTGTGAAATTTCTAACACGTGGAGCGATGCATAACCCAGTATCACTCACCGTGTTTCTCTAGTTATTTTCTCTCGGCAAACCCGTCAGCTTGAGAATGATTAGAGCACCTTCCGTGACACATAATCACTCTCAACTCACGACAGCCGGTGTTTGTCCAAAAGTTTACTCTGTCCACAAGAACACTACGCTTACGTTATAAACAGACAATAGGGATGAACTGATGATACCGGACGAATGTCCATCTAAAGCTCCTCATATACATTATATTATGCTCAATAAAATGTTGTCACATGAAAGATAACACATCACACAACATTCGCTTTCGGCCTGCGGTCCCCCTCCAAGGGTCACCGGCCGGAAGCCTTCTAAAACAAAATCTGCCCTGTTTCTCTAGTGGTCCTACACTTCCCAACGTCGCCATCCAGGACAAATTCTTCTTCTTGGTTATGTGTCCTTCCTTTGGATCACTATAACCTATAAATGATAACTGATGAGCCTTGCCCTCTGGCAACCAGTCTCTCGACACACGCCAAATCAGTCGACTCTTGTCGAACCTAGAAGCTAATAACATGTTGGGCAATCTACGCTTAATCTCTATAAAATTCGCATAACGTGAGCCTTTCGACTAATACACTGACCTCACTTCATCGACAGGCTACTAAATATGATCTATGTTTTCCTTGCTAATAAATTCAGTACTATAACAATCAGTATAACAAATATATATATATGATAGTGTGTGGTGAAGTAACGCCACAGGACAACGAATACTGCGTACTGTCACACACGTACAATGCGACGAGTCTGACAGACGATAATTAAAAAATGACTCCACAAATACACCAATGGAACTAACAATTAGAGAAGGGACAATCGTCGAAAGAACACCAGGTAGCACTATTACAAACTAAACGTACAGGACGTGACGAGACCGGACTAAGACACTTTAGCCTAAATCAATCCACCGAGTCGCGAATAGATAAACTATCTCCCTGTTATAATGGGGACCACTCCGAGGGTTGAAGTTGGCTACAGACAGAGCCAAAGACGATATGACACTCTAGTGGTGAGCTAGTTGAAATATCGAATAAGGCTCTCACCGCCCAACCTCCCGCTTACTTGATAACACGTAAAAATTAATGTACCACTCGCTCTCCACTTGCGCACGGGAAAACCAGGTCTGTTCTCTGGAGGAAAGAGTTAAAATTGTCAGCGCAACAGAAACCACAACAACCACAATTGACTTACCAATTGGGTGGCAGACAAACAACACACTGCAATGTTAGCGATGAAAAATCGCTAAAATAACGACCGGTACAACGGCAAGTGGCAGATCAATGTACAACCAAAAGGACGACTTGATCCGATTCAATCGAACGGAGAGTGGCACAGACAGTAACGGTGACTGGATTATGATGAAGATCCAGCGAAGAGTGATACGGAGATCCAACGAAGAGTGATACTGTCCCGATGAAGATCCAACGAAGAAGAATGATACGGTCCCGATGAAGATCCAACGATGGCTAGAACAGACTGGCGGCGGCGACTTGATACATTGGACGATATCCACAGCTAGAGATATGTTAAGACTGTGACAACTGGAATGTGCTTCGTGTACAACTTGAGGCAAAACAATGACAATGCGACAAAATGTCGTATCACACTTGTGACGAGAGGTCCCTCATTCTTTAAAGGCTGGCCTCCATTGTTACGTGCGGAACTTCATTGTAACGAGTGTACCAAACGTTGCGTATGCTTGATGGATTGTGACAAGCTTAAAAGTGACTAGGGGTGTCGCAATGTATCAAATGGCATCAACACTTAACATGCCACTGGCCAAGAGTAACAGAACATGATGAATGCTGAAGCTTCCAACGTAGTAGAACAAGAACTCTCTTTAAAAGTTCCATTTGTGTATTGACAAAAATGCAATGATCAATTTCAAGAATACATATGCAAGTAATAATCAACTCGTTCAACCAAAGCTCGCTCGTACATCCATGTATTGATATGTCCTCACGATAGGTCGCAGTCCGACCTTGAGATCATGACAATCATCTTGGTCCTCGGACAAGTCCGAATTAAGCAATGAAAGTATACCGGCATACTGCCGAAAATGTAACGTTTACCAGCTTCCTGCTGAGGTCTTGGAGTCCCGGGGTAAAACGTCCTCAAGGATCCACACGTCCGTCTCCTTCGGACTATAAACATCAACTCTTCTTACAACAATATCTTAACAACGTTACGTATTGTTTTGACGTCTTATTTGCTCACTCCGTACCTGTGCGTACACTCGTTACAATGAAGTTCCGCACGTAACAGCATGGAATTCCGATTCCGATTCCTTTTCAGAAAAAAAAAAAAAAATAAAAGTTCGACCTCTTTCAAACTGTTGCTAGCTAGTCGAAACCGCTAACAGTCTCCGTTTATATTTGTGGTCTGCTTTGTTTGCGTCACTTTCATAGCTAAGGTTTTAGTATTTGCACCGCCTCTTGGCTTGATGCTTCCTTTCTTCGAGTAAGACCGCTCGTTCTCTACCCAGTTGTTAGCTGTGTACTTCTTACCTTTTCCTGCAGGTGTTTTCTCCTTGGTTTCAGTTCCCTTTGATTTAGTCAGGCGTATTTCGTAGGAGAGCGAGCTTCTATACATAACGTCATTTGGACTCACAATTATAGTTTTACAATTTTGACTATTTTACTTTGCTGCCTGGAAAAGGGTCCTTTGCTTTTATACTGTTATAGCTAACGCAGGTCATCTTTTCCATACTCAAGTGTCCCGTTGAATGCGGTGCAGGGGAGCTAACTAGACAGGTGTTCTGTGCTGATGACACAGGAACAGCCTTACCGGACAGTCGGTGTGATCTCAACCAGCGGCCCGCTGTAACACAACCATGTCGGGTCAGTAGACCATGCGGAGGTTTATGGTTTACTGGAGAGTGGCTCAAGGTAAAAATATAATTTTATATATGGCTTGTTTTGTAAGTAAGATCCCGTTTACAATTAAAAAAAAAAAACGAACTATCATATATAAAACTAGTTTATTGCAGTCAGTATGGAACCACACATTTACATTATTTCTCAACATAGTCATTATTGAGTTCAACGCATTTTTTGATATCGTGGCATTAGGTTTTTAATTGTCATAAATGTTTGCAGCCTGTGCCTCGAACCATTCATTATTGCAGCTAGTGGGAGTATTTATTTTTGCACTTATTATAAATCACCCACATGCAGCATCAGACAATATTCTTACAGGGAGAAAAAACATACAGCTAGCTAATGAACTTCATAAACATACTGCATATGCACATTTACGTTTTCCGTCGGTGTTTGTCATCTCATATGTAGTCTCACGCTTTCATAATGTCAATGTAGCAATGCAGTTTGTAATATGATAGTAAGGAGGTATATATCAAAGTACAGAGATCTGTTCACCTGGAGCTTGGTTTAATAATGTTTTTCTCCTAAGCTAAGTCATTATAGCTTAATGTTCACCGGAGTCTTAGTTTAACTCTTCTCTAGCCAAATTGCTGAAGACATGATTGGCTGAAGCCAAATATCAATGCTTATATTTCCTCGCCCACTCATACCTGTATATATGTGCACGTCTCTCTTTCTTTCCATAGATATATATAATGAAAGGACAACTCACATAGGACCCAAAGCATGGTTCTTCTTATCGAAAATTCTTCTTATCAAGTTAAGAAGACAAATTGTCAGGGATAAACAAATTGATCTTCACAACAGAAATTTACAACATCTGAGACAGTGGGTCTGTTCTCTCCTCCCCATCCCTCATCCCCAAATGGAGCCCCAGAAACTTCACGGGGATGATAAAATATTTTTTAAAATATGTTATTCATTATGCACCCACCCTTCTCATTTCGGAACGCGGGTGAGGGGGGAGGGGAGGGGTGGAGACTCCAGTTCAGACTACAGATGTTCACATAGTTTTTCCCTATTCTCAGACAAATTCTTGTACAGCTAAAGTCTTATATCAAGGTTATGTTGATTTTCATGTTTTGGTTTCAGTGTGATTCAAAATGCGGAACTGGAAACCGTCATCGGGAAGTTCTATGCATCAAAGAGCTGCCCGGAATCGTTCACGCTGTGGTTGGTGAAGAAAACTGCGAGGGATCAGAGAAACCGGCAGTGACAGAGCCTTGCCAGGGGCCTCCATGTGTACCTGAGTGGTACATGACGTCATGGACTCAGGTATACAAGACATATTACTGACATTAACTGTTCTTCCGTCTCATCTTAGCAGAAGTTAGTGTACTTCCCAAAAGTGAAGTCTCCTAACACCACTGGCAGATAGGGCATATTTAGCACTGCTTTATTTAATTTAATTCAGTATTTTTAAATTATTAGTTAATTAATAAATTGTTTATGTAAAACAAATAATATGAGAATCAACACTGAGAAGACAGAAGTAATGTCAACAGGAAAAAAGAAGACAGATCTAAACATAGCAATAGAGTGCAAAGGCATTAAACAGGCATCTGAGTTTAAATATCTGGGAACTACATTTACCGAAGATGGGAAATTGAATAAAGAAATTAATATTAGATGCAGTAAAGCAAACCAAGTATTGGGACAGCTAGCATCCTCTTACAGCATAAGACAATCCCAATCAGCACAAAGAGACATCTTATTCAAAGCATATTTATTCCAACTCTGTGCTACCAGTGCCAGACATGGTCACTCACAACAAACCATAAAAGAAAATTAGTAACCATGGAAATGAGATGTCTCAGAAGGGCTGTAGGAGTGACCATAAGAGACAAGATCAGGAATGAGATCATAAGAGAAAAAGTCGGCACAGAACCAATTCTGGATTACATACGAAGACAGAAAGTGAAATGGTTTGCCTTGTGACACCATACCATACAAAGCATTCAGGGAAAGAGAAGGACGGAGAGCACGAGGTAGACCAAGAACAAGATGGAAGGATAAAATCAGAGAAACTCTACAACAGCACGATGTGCCTATGGTCGAGGCGGCCAGAAGAGCTAGAAACAGAACCTTATATCTCCCTCGAACCCACAGCGGTAAAATTGGAATTGAAAAAGAAGAAGTTTATGTTCACCCTCACCCCACCCTCGCTTCGTTTTTAATCATCTTCTTACTTATTTCGTTTCGCAATGTAACCCTTCAGGTCCATATTTCTTTCCTCCGTTACGTATTTCTTGGTTTTGTGTTGACCTTGGTTGTTAAGAAGCTAAGCCATGCAACAAAGACTACAATCCATCTGTTCAGGATAATAAATTTTTTTTTAAATGAAAAAATAATGTTTGCAGCTAGGCTGACCTTTGTGCTCTAAAAATCTGTGTTTGATTTACTTCAATAAAACTGTTTAAAAGAGAAGTGTTTGTTAATAAAGTTAAGGATACTAGAACCTGAGAATTATTAGGTATAATGATAGATATCGTGTAGAAAGGCTGTGTATTTATGTATGCAGAAAATGGATGCATAATACAAAATTCGATTTAAATAAGAAAAACTTAATTCTGCTAATCATAGATGTTTGTTGATACTTCTACATTTTCTTATCTTATTATCTAGTTCTGCTGATCTCTTTGAAGTCTGCTTTCTTGAATTTTTAGTTGTTTTAAAATAAATATGATTGTTTCTTTTTTAAATTATGTGAGACTGTTAATTAGCCACAAAACTGTGACAATTTTACATTCATATATGTTGTCAGCTGAGTGTGAGTGCACACACTGACGTATACAGGATTTCTCTAATATATTTTGTAACTTTAAGATTGTATAAAGACAGAGTATTTGTGTGCGCGCACACACGCACGCACACACACACACACACAAGCACATACACACCACATCAAACACAAACACACACACCACACATACCACACACACACCACACCACACCTCACACACCATACATACACCACACTCACACACACACCACAAACACACCACAGACACACCACACACACCACACACAAACACACTTTATAGGTTATGCCCATGCTAAGACAAGAAATATTGTGGATATACATGATCACTTAACTGAAAATATAAATGATGTCAAAATATTAAACGTCACACTTCTTAAATACAATCTGGTATAATCTGTAAAAACACTCTTAAATCACAGAAGAGCTGTAACTGATTGAACACAATTTTCTGACAGTGCTCCCAAAGCTGTGGCACAGGCTACCGTTCTCGAGAAGTCAAATGTTTAGATTCTGAGCAGAAACTTCAAGAAGACTGTCCACTCAACACAAAACCCAAAACACGGGATGCTTGCAATATACACAGCTGTGACGATGTTGAGGAGAAAACCATTGGTAATAACAACATTTGTGATTCAGTGCCCTAATCCTTTTTGTAACATAATCATATTGTAGCTTTAATCCTTTTATGATAGAAATATGTATGTATGTAAGTTGTACCCCACTAGGATATCACACAAAGTGATTATCACTCGGTGACAAAAAGTGCCACCATGCGGATAAGGATCACCCGTAGAGAGGTCCCAGAAACTCCGTTCAGTGATTAGGCTATATTTAGGGCCCCCAGCAAAAGCCAGGGTGCGGCTTCAAATAACGAAAAATTAAATCCTACAAGTGGACGACTATTTTTTTTAACAGAAATATATTTCTCATTATCATATTGTAGCTTAATTATGTTGTAAAATAATTGTGGGGTGACGTAATACTGCTGACTAAATGCTCACCTGCAGATCCGAAAGTTGTGGGTTCAAAACCGAATGAAGCTGAAGTTTTTCAAAACGAATTAGGCAACCAGGCCGATCCAGCCTTAAATGAGTACCATATAAACTCCTGAGAAGTAAAGGTTGTCGATGTGATGTTAACCACATCACCTACCGACTGTCGACTGTTTAAAGTATAAGTCTAGCCCTATATGCCCCAAAATGTTGAGTGATAAATTGAGACGACATTATAGCACTCGGGGCACCCCCATAAGAGCTCCGTCCTCATCTTCAGCAGCAAACGAAGAGTTCAAATTCTGATGGCACCAGTAACTGTCTGATTGTATATGACTATATATACCCAATATATACCTATATACACCAATATGCCCAATAATTGTAAGGGTCTGAAAATGACTCCTTCACTTCACTGAAAATTAATAGTATTTTATTACTATTATTTTACAGAATGGTTACAAGACAAAACACTTATTGAACCTTTCAGCCCGAAAGCAATTTTTACTCTAACCCTTTTTATCCCAAGGAGTTAAGCTTGAAAGCAATAATTGTTCAGGTCTAAATGAGTTGAACAGAGACACAGTGGGACAGACGTGGTTAACCCAATAATTCGGGTTTAAAAGGTTATTAAGAATATGTCTGTGATGGAAGACAGCCTGAATATCATATTGTCTTTAGAATTACCAAGAAACACACGATGAACTGTGTAATATTGAATGAGTTCATACGCGTTTATTTTCTATTTTACAGAGGAGGACCCTAGTTGCACTGACAAATTTGCCCAGTGTAAGGTTGTCAAGAGGGCTCGCTTGTGCCGCTATGACTACTACAAAACTGTGTGCTGTAAATCTTGTGCTGCCGAAACATGAGAAGATGGATTCCTTGTGAATAGTTGTTATTTCAGTTTATAAATGACTAGAGCTGATCATGAGTTGTAAACCCGGTGTCCAAAACTTATTTTTTTCTGAAAGGCTTTGTGAAAGTAAGCAGAAAAGTTCATTGGATATAAATTATTTCACTGATAATTTCTTACACGGCAATCATATCTGCAATTACAGTGTGACAATAAAGTTGTCTGAGTGTAATTTTGAACATTGAGAATTCACTTAAAATATTTGTCAACATTTCCACTTTAAACATTTAGAGTGTATTCCTTATAATGCAAACAGTAATAGTGATAAAATCTGATCTACAAAGACAGTGGGCAAACTGTTGTGTGGTTTTAATTGGTAAATGGGAAAAAAAAGGGGGGGGGGGGGGGGACCTAAGATTCAATCACCTTAACATGTGTACTAAAGCTTTAAGGGACCAACCCTACTGTTAAATACCCTGTTCAACCAATGCAACCTTTGACACAGGAAAACAACATGCTACAGATGGTACTCTGAACAGTGCTGATTATGTAGTGTTCTAGCTGAGGCATGTGTCTCTACAGTTCTGGATTATTTACTGTTCATGTTTGGTATAATAGATAAGCCAGGCTTGTATGTTGTTGTGTTCATAATAAATATTTCTTACTGGTGACTTTCAGCTGACCCCAGACCCGCATGTGGTTTGGTGTTGCAACTCTGTGAGATACAGATTCTAGCTTTGTGTTTCGCTGGGATAGAGGTTGTAACTTTGTGTTTTCAGCTGATAAATGAATTTTAACTGTCTTCAGCTATGATACACATTGTAACTTTGTATCTTTAGTTGAGACACTGGTTGTAACTTTGTGTCCTTACTCAGGCCACACATTCAGATTTTTTTCCCACTTTTGACACCAGACCTTCATATGTCTGGTTGTTGTAACTCTGTCTCTTTAACTGGGATATAGGTTCTAACTTTGTCTTTCGCTGAAATACATATTGTAATTATGTGTCTTTAAATCAGATAGAAGTTTGTGTCTTTCAATAAAATACGGGTTGTAACTGTGTGTCCTGAGATGAGATACAGGTTGTAACTTTTGTCTTTACTGAGTCTATATGTAATCAGCAGTTTGTTGTTGTTTTTGTCGTTGTTGTTCTTTCTGTGTGAGAATTGCTGCCTGTTGGGAAGATCCTCCCAGATTACCCTGTACAGTGACCTGAGCTAGGTAATTATATGTCTAAAACACACTTCAAATGAATTCACAAATAATGTGTAATTCTAGTTGACTGATATTTTGTAACATTCAGTCCTAAGTTTGGCTTTAGACAATGTTACTTTCAAGTCAATCTATCAAGCTCCTGTATCCTGTAGATTTGTGCTTTTTAAAATGCTTGCTTTACTAGCAAATATATGTACCTCGTTGATGTTTTCTTTTTTTATGGTTTATCAACTGCCATATTACTGTACCATGTAGATATTCATTTTATTATGTGTTTTATCAAATAATAGATTTCTGTACATTGTAGATATGTGCTTAATTTTTTCCCCCAAAACTGTGAGGTTCATGTGCTTTCTGATAAATTGTATCAATCATCAAATTTATTGTTTCGTGTAGATTAAATGAGGAGCATATGAGAACCAACTGGCCAAACAGTGAAAATTGCTGGGCTTTCTTGTGGAAGTCACAGGTTCGAAACCTCGGTAAGGTTTTGAGGTGGAGTTTTTCTGTCTCGGATAAAGAAATACTAACAGCCCAAATACTTGCAGCCCAAACTCTCCAGGTTCAAAGACCCTATGACGACACTGCAAAGTTGTTAATGATTTTGACAGTAAGTAAAGAACCCTTGTTCATGCCTAAGAGCTTATTGGGCATAAAGTGCTAAACTTATATTTTGTAGACCAATCGGCACTTGGTGTATCATATTTTCAACATCATGCTGGCCACCTTTACTTTCACTGACTGCACCTGGTACCCACTCAAAGCTGGGGCCACCTGAGAGCCAAGGTCATTTTGGAAGAAAACTTAATTTCATCAAGACCTGAACCCAAAAACTTCAAATCTGCAAGCGAACCTCTAGCTGCTAAACCATAGTGACGCCCAAGTTTTTAACAGTAATTGTATACTTCACGAGTTATGAGTTATGAGTTAGATTATCTTCCCAGCACTCCGGACACATCCATAGGCGCTCAGATGTCCCTCTCAACATATTTATCAGCGTCGTGCGGTTAATAGTACCAGTCCTATGTTGGTAAACAAGACTTCATGTGCGTCCAGTGTGCTTCTCATGCTTGGCTGTGCCGATCTTTACTCCCAGTTCGCGTATTCTTAGCAGTGGTGTGGACACGTTGCTTCCAAAATCCTCAGAAAGTCTTATCTCTCTAAGCGCAATGACAATGTTTGCGTGATCCATGGGGCGGCCATCTTCAATTAATGCAGTACCTGCAAGTCTATCAGCTCTCTGATAACCAACAACGCCTGCATACCCTGGAACACGTATGAAAGTAACTGCACACACTGGAGAATTTTGCAACGACTCAAGCCACTGTCTGCGTAACCAGCCTGCCTCGACCTGCCGGATCATGCTCAAAGAATCACTCAGCACACACGCAGGAATAGTCTTGTGATTCCAGCCACATGAAAGTCTGTGTCACCGCCCTCACCTCTATCGTCATGCTGCTGGTGGTCATGGAGAAGGCACCGCTGGCTTCCTTAACTGTTCTGCCTGAAAGCGAACTGTAAATGCCCATGCACTCTTATGTCTTCGTATAACGAACCCGTTTGTGAACATCAGCACATCTGTCTCATCTGACTTGTCACTGATAAGCGCGCATACCTCGGCGTTGACAGCAGCGGGATTCAGCTCCCAAAAATTCCTATCAAGCGTCACGACACAGGAGAATGTCAGATTAGGCGTTACTTCATATAGTTGTCTTTTATCAAGTATCAGATTTGTATACACTTTGGCTATAGGCTTTCTACTTTCTGTAATCAACTCCCATCCTCTTATCTTCTGTAAATAAGTGTTTATGGTATACTTTTTTTTTTTTTCATCTTCACTTCCAGTTTTATCGCTCTAGAGGTTGAGGTAGATGAAAGGTTATCTTTCTTGTTATTCTGGCAGACACGTCATGCTGTTGTAGAATTTCTCTGATGTTATCTTTCTATTTGTTCGCGGTCTACATCGTGTTCTTTGTCCTTCTTCTCTTCTCGTGTACACGTTGTATGGTATCGTGTCACAAGGCATTCTCTCTAAGTGTGATTTGCTGTTTTTGTTTTTAGTTTAGAATAGATTCTGTGCCGACTTGTTCTCTTATGACCTCATTCCTGATTCTTATCTCTTTTGGTCACTTCTGTGGCTCTTCTCAGATATCTCATTTCTATTTCTACTAATTTTCTTTTCTGATTTGTTGTGAGTAACAACATTCGTCACTGACAGCATAGAGTTCGAATGAGTATGCTTTGTATGAGATGTTTTTTGTGTGTTGAATGGGATAGTCTTGAGTTTTAAGAGGGGAGCTAGCTTTCCCCAAACCTGATTTGCTTTGCTGCATCGGTTGTCAGTTTCCTTATCTAATTTACCATCTAAGGTGAATGTTGTTCCCATATATTTAAACTGAGATGCCTGTTTAATGCCTTAGCACTCTATTGCTGTATCCTTTATCAACTGTCTGTTCATGTACTAAGTAGTCATATGCTTTCTATAGTAATCATTTATTAACATTAGATTTCTATACCACGAAGGTATATTTTCTGTTATTTAGTTTGATCAAAGTCGATGTACCAGACATTTTATGTGAATGTTGGTTGCTGCAAATAATTTTATAGTGAGATTTGTTTGAGAATGGAGACAGGAATACTGTGTGCTTCTCATGGACAAGGTGTAAATGAGATAGAAGTTGTGTGTTATGAAATAACAATGTCATATTTTGTGGTAATAAATGAACAGCACTGATCACAGCAACGGAAATATGTCTTTTAGACAGCAACCATAATCAAGTTTTCTAATCCACATTTGTATAACTTTACAGAGTACTTTGGTTTTGATTTTGTTTAGAAAAGCAGGAAAAAAAACTTTCAATGGTATTGGCAAATGCTTTTTGTAATGTGACTTATGTTGTAGCTGCATACTGTGACACAAGTATTTGACGATAGAATGTTTAGTATTTGCTTATGAAATAAATTTTTTTATGTCCGTTATGAAACAAACATGCATTTGTATGTTGTTGTTGTTTGCAGATTATGGCAAAGATAGTAATTAGTAATATTACCGTGGTCCCAAACGTACATACAAAAAAGTATTTTTAAGCAAGTCTGGGGAATTTCTAGATCAACACCAGCGAATGAAGAATCAGAAATATCTGGAAAGATAATTAACAATATTAGTTATACTAATGAACCACAATACTATTATCAGAAAATAATTATCAGTTTCAATACACTGTGAAATAAATAAATAGGCACGGTGTAAAACGTAGATTATATACTTATATACTGAAGAAAACAGAAGCCGGCTGAATGGTTAGAACGCTGGTCTCTTATGTGTGGGACCCGGGTTCCAATCCTTGGTAAGGTTGGGGATTTTCTTTTAAATGTCGGGGGCAAAAATAATATCCTCACCTGCACAGTCAGTGGCGACAGTACTAGCCATGCGGCCCTACATCCTCTGGCTCAAAGACCCCATGCCTACACCAGAAAGTGGTATAATGAAGGCAGTAATTGACTGAAGAAAACAAAACTGAACATTCTCATACATAGCAAATGGCTAAGGAAAACGAGCTGTGAACATCATAGGACACCGAGAAATACTAGAACACAGGCAAGCTCATCCAGTCTGCAGGGCAGTAAAATATGATGCACAAGTGACATGGCAAATATAATATAAATGACTACAAATAGGGAGAAAACAAGAGATTACAGTTAAGAATGTTATATGTTAGTGTTTTGTTAACATTACTACATGGCACATAAACCTTTACTGTGAGAAAGCAATTATAAAGTAATGTTGGAAGGCTTCAAGTG